TGGGTTGGCCAGTGATTCCCTCGGACTACTGGCCGTGGGTTGGCCAGTGATTCCCTCGGACTACTGGCCGTGGGTTGGCCAGTGATTCCCTCGGACTACTGGCCGTGGGTTGGCCAGTGATTCCCTCGGACTACTGGCCCATGGTTGGCCAGTGATTCCCTCGGACTACTGGCCGTGGGTTGGCCAGTGATTCCTCGGTATTCTAATACTTAGACCCCTAGTGAGGACCAAACTCACTAGGACCAAAATTCTTCTTATATGTTTGAGTTATGCTTCAGCTTTGCATCCAAACCAATCAGAGGAACAGACTGGATGTAGAGAACAGCCTGTTTTCCGCCGTTTTTCTGTTTTCCACATCTAAGCTCATCAATGCAGCTCAGGTGTCATGATTGATGAAAAAGTAAAACTAATGGAGTCAGTCTGACGGATTTTGGTTCAGTATTTTGTTCCCAATTCCTTAAGTTTAAATGAGATTAAGGGGGAGTTACTCAGAAGAGTATTGTTTTTATAAAGGCAGATTTATAGCATGATTTTATCTTTTATTTTTATTGATTCTTTGCTAACTTTTTGGCAACATATTTATGTTGGAAAGAATAACATGTCAAAGAATTAAACCAGGTAAAAAGATTAAATAGGATACTTTTTAGTTTATTATTAGTTATTGCACGTTCCACTTCTGGGCAGTCATTGATAGTTTTGACTGAGATGATCTGATGGTCAGACAAAATGCCCAAAGGGAAAGTTAAAAAAGTTTGCGAACCGCTGGTCTGGAGGAAGAGGCGCCGCTGACGGCTGTGTTTTCATTCAGAGAGTACCTGGCCATCTTCAAGAAGACCGTCGCCATGCATGAGGTCTTCCTCTGCCGCGTCGCAGCTCATCCCATCCTCAGGAAGGACCTGAATTTCCACGTCTTCTTGGAGTACAACCAGGATGTGAGTGTTGAGCAAAGTTTGGGAAGTTAATCACTGCTGCTGTTAATGTCTGTTCTCCCCATTAGCCATCGGTCAGAACTACAGGGATTCAAACTCTGACACGATGCTGTGTTTGGTTTCAGGGACTGTGTCCTCCAAGGAGCCAGTCTACCTGGACTGGGTCCTTGGAGGACCGTGACAGTAAGGAGGCTGGAACCCTGAACCTCCTGTAGCTTTTCCCTCGGTCCCAGTTCAGTGTAACTGATGCTGATGGAAATGTGATGTTGAAACATGTTGACCCGGTCAGACCAGCATACCCAAAGTCAGTCCCCGGTTATCCCTTTAGTTTGGTATGAAAAATAAACTGTAAACTACCTCAACAGGCGTGTATCCCTTTAGTCATGCGGTAGTCAGTCTTGAGGTAGTTTAAAGTCTATTTTTCGTACAAAACTAAAGGAATAAACACAGATCTTCCAGATGCATATTGGCTATAGGTATGCTGGTCTGATGAGACACAGCACTGATTTAACGAGCCATTAGAAGCTCTAGGAACCAGTTAACCTCCATTTTCTCTGCAGAAACCAGGCTTTGTTGGGCTGCTGGATAAAACCTGGAACTAAACGCTGTTTCTGAGATTTGGAATTAAAAAATCTTCCTGGATGGAAGGGAAACGTCTTCAAACTAGGAAACAAAGTCCAGTGGATTGATTTTTAAACTTTGTTTGGATCGTCTAACTAGCCTGTTTTAGTTTAGATTAAAATGATCTCATCTAATGGCTGAATATTAAACTGGAATGAAATGCTTGGCTTTTTAAAACAAACCAAAACAATGGCTGAAAAATCTGAGCCTGTGAGTGAAGCAGAGGATGATTTACTCTCTAAAGCTGCTCCCAGCCCTTTGTTGGCGTCTGAATCATGGCTAACATCTCTAATGGAGAAGTGTGTGTGATCTGTTGTCCGGCAGCTGAGCGTACGAGGGAAGAACAAGAAGGAGAAACTGGAGGATTTCTTTAAGAACGTGGTGAAGTCGGCTGATGGCGTTCTGGTGGCTGGGGTCAAGGTAAGGGTTGGAGCTCCAGGCCGTCTGTTACGGTCTGCTCTCAGGGCTTTCATCGAAGCTCGATGTCGTTTGTCTTTCAGGACGTGGACGATTTCTTCGAGCATGAAAAGACGTTTCTATTAGAATATCACAACAGAGTGAAAGACGCCTCAGCCAAATGTGACCGAATGATTCGCTCTCATAAAAGTAAGGCTGGAGTCAAAGCGTTGGTTTATAGGTAATGCTGCTGCTCTCCTCTGACCAGCTGATGTCTGTCAGTGTTTGGCCTTTTTCTACCAAACCCTCTATAGTGAGTTATTCCCACTAGAAACCAGAGCTCATCTGAAACTAAGCTGGTTGAACTGGATCCTGTGGTTTTTTTCTTCCTCTGAGACCAGCTACAGTTTAGGAAATGGGTGGAAATGTTGCCTTCTTTCAGACGGGAGTTTATTTTTCCAGGTTGAGATGCCGTCTGATTGCTGTTTCTGCTTGTTTAGATGCTGCTGATGACATGAACAGGATCGCCTCGTCTCTGTACACGTTAGGAACACAAGACTCCACGGACCTCTGCAAGTACGGAGACAATCGCTCATAAAACCGTTCACTTCATCTCTCTAGGCTGTTACTCTAGTTTGGATAATCCAGGAAACTAGAAATAAATTTGACCTGCTTTTTACTGTTTCTAAAGATGAATGTCCTTCATCTGTTAAAGGAAAAGTCCGGTCAGGAATAATCAATGGATCATTATTTATACCTAAAACTAATATGATTTAATGAATTCAGCGTTTCTCAGTAATTATCTTCGTTGCAATCACTCAGTCTGGGAGCGGCCATTTTTGCCCAAA